TTCATGGACAGGGAGGGGGGCTTCTCAGGATCTGCTGGCGGTTGCCAATTCATGGTGACCGCTCGACAGAGTGTAGACGGAGTTGCTGTGATGCGTATGTGTGAGTGCGTACGTCTGTCTATGTATCCGAGTTTTGGAGTGATGGAATGAGAGCACACCAATAGGCCGCGAGCGTCAACCACCAACGAATCAAGGTCGACGGAGGGGCCAAAAGGTGTAAGATACCCCCAACATGCGACCATACCAGAGTCCTCAAACACGCCACCCGGACAACCCAATCGCATGTTCCACCGTCGACGACCCAATTCACATGCCGCTCACTCAACCAGCGTTTCGATGGGCCGAGACCCCGTCTTTGGTGGCCGGATATACTGAACAAGGCGTTGCGTGAGGCTGGCCTGCCTTCGTAGCGTCCTCGGCGGTTGCGGCGGATACTCCTTGCCAGCAGAGTCTGCTCGTACCGGCTGCGGTGGCTCGGGCAGCGGTCGTGCCTGCCGCTTTGATGGCAGGGTAACTGGGGGTATCTCCCCCGCGCTGCTGCCAGTCATGTAGCTCGCTGCCCAGCTTGACTTGCGCGCGTGCCCTTTGCGGCCGCTGTCCTGTCGCTGTTGCCGGTTCTGCGGCTGCGGCTGCTCGGTTTTGGCACTGGCTCCGGGGACCAGGGTGTGGCGAGTCTTGCTGCTGCGTTGTGCCGGCCTTTCACCCTTCTCAGCTGGCCCCTTAGCTGTCTTCCCAGTTGTTGACGGCACTACTGCCGCGAACTGGCGGTGCGGGTCTGGCCGGACACGGTTGGCTGCGTATGCCGCAGACCGCTGTGAGATGCTGCGCAGAAGCTGTTCGCGCTTCTCGCGGTCTTCAGCTTCGGCGCGCGCGAGGAAGAGTTCGAAATCGGAGAGGGGTTGTGACGATGGCGACGGCGGCGGCGGCTCTGTCCTTATGAGAGATGTCGGTTCACCTGGGCTCCATGCCACCGGCTGGGGATTGACTGGGACGTGGGCAGCGGCGTTGGATGCCTGGAAAGGGTCCTCCACCAGCGTGTAGGAATGGCGGTTCACGCTGGATCTGGAGTGTCGTCTTGTCGGTTCGTCATCTCGGGCCTCGTCCCGATGCACCGGCCGTGGCTGTGTATTGCGAGCCGTACTTGATACGTCCTTCTCGGGCGGTGTATACGTTGCGGCTAGTGGTAACCGCGGTTTCGTTGGGCTCACCGGCGATACCGCCAACCGCGAAAAGTCGGCGGCGGCATGCGTGGGCTCGTACACAAACCGCGGTTTCAACTCCTCGGTCACGATTTCCAAGGGCTGGAGTGGTTTTTGCCAGGCCTTCAGGCGGTCCCTGAAGCTCGCCTTCTTTTTGAGTTGGGGTTGCGGGGTTGCACTTGGCATTTCGTGATGTGGTGTTCCTGTTGGGCAACTCTGCTGCGGCTGAGGTTGTGCGATGTCGCCTGCGTCGGGCGCTGTGCTCTGGGCCCCTGGGTCTGCTGCAACCTCCGGGATACGGGATCTTGCGGGGACTCGCGGTCTTTCGTCCGCCTCGCCCAGTAACAGTTCCTTGAGAGCGGCAGCACTTCCGGTGCTGCTCGTAAAGAAACGCTCGCTCGCCTTTGGGGTTTCTACCGTCCGATGTAGGATTCGGCCGAGAACGCCTGGGATGTCGCCCTGGTCGGGAGAGACCGGGCTTCTAATAGCAACAACCGCCACTCCCCTTCCCCTGTGCCACCAGCGAACTATGAGCTCGTGTCAATCTCTGGCGTGGCGGGGCCCCGGTTTCAGAGCGGAGTCGCTTCGAATGCCGCAGCGGCAGAGCGGTACCTGCTGCAACAGCGTTGCACCCTTGTTGCCAAACCCTGTTTCCCATGCATCAGCCGTCTTGGCTACAGAAGGTAATCGTGGTTACAGGGTGGATGAAGTGTGATTCTGAGTTGCGTGTGCATTTGCGCCAGCTAGATGCTGGCTGGTCTTAGATTTGGCTTTAAGCCCGAGTTGATTCTCCAGTCTCAGGGCCTTGTGGCACGATATGCCGCCATCGGAAAATGGGGGTTCGTTTGCCGCACGAGAACCGGTTTTTTGGCGGCGTCAGGTTTGGCGCACCACGATGGCGCGTGGACTAAAGTAGCGAATGAGGTACAGGACCGGGCTCGACGAGTGCGACTTGGTGTGGGGTTAGAGCTGTTTGGGTTTAGGGCACGCAGCGCTGCACCGAATCCAGTGAAGGGCCTTCGGTTAGTCACTGACTGATGGCACAAAGATGAAGGTAAATAATGGGAAAGGTGTTGGTCCAAGTGCAGCGAGGAGGGAGGAAGCTAAGATGAAGGGGACTCCCCGCCTGCCGCCTGTGGCGCTGGTCCCGACGAAATGGAAGTGCCCGATTCCCTCCGTCATTGCGGAACACGTCAGTCGAAGGAGTGAGACATCTTCGGCCGCAGTCCAAAAAACGGCCACAGCTCCGAGGCTTTGGGGATGAGACACGCAAACTTCACTGTGCCACACACGCTGAACACCATAAACACGCTCTGGAATGCAAGAGTTGCTGTCAAAAAATCGGCAAACTCCGCCTATTTTCGTGGGGATCGTCGGTGGGCCCTGCAGCCTGTTTCGAGCCTGTTCTCCGGTAGGAATGTCGATCCGGGGTTCAAGCCCACATCTACCGTCAGCTCCTTCCTTCTCGCCTTGACACTCACAGCCTCTCAGATTTAGCAAAATCACTCTATGGTGCAGTGATGCTCACTCGCTCAGACAAATTTAGCAGTTTGTCTATTGTATAACTCCCAATGATAATCAACAGAGAGTTCCCAGCCCCCACGCCATGGATTCGGACCCGGGACAAGCAATTCTTGGCGAGGGGTACAGGGACATCAGAGTACGAAGTGCACATACGACAGAGCCCGATGTTAGAAGCGGCAAACAATAGGTATCTGCTGGCTGATATTGGGAGATTGGTAAGTAAAAGGTACATTATGTACCTACCTCTGTACCTGCGCTTTTCATGGGTTTACTTCCTTCTATTTCAGCGGCCGTGCGTTTTTCCTGGTCTCCTGGTCAGAATCAGGCTGGCTTCCAGTTTGTACCCCGGCGAGCTCCTCCGGGCTCTGAACTCCAAGGTCAAGTCCAACTTCGACATGGAAGAACACTTCAAATTCCGAGCGTAACGCAAAACGCCCTCCCTAAGCCGGCTGGTTAAAACAAGCAGAATACCCAAACCCATGGGGTTGCTAGTTGCAACGAACTACACATGAAGTCCGGGCGAGCGAACATTGAGCTGGATGGGATACAATCACTTTAGAACGCGCGGCTGAGATTTAACCGGCGGTGGTTAATCTACAGGTAGGCTCCGATTTGTCTTTCATGTTGCGGAGACGCCCCGTCCCCAGTTAATCCCGATGTCAAATACATATGACCGATCCACAACCGTGAGCAGACGGCATCCAGCCTCAAGCACTCACCCTCCGAATCTACAGCAAGTTGCGCACTCTGCACAGGCATAGGTATCGCAACCAGACCTATTGCAATTACCTCCACACACCATGTTGTTCTAGACGCAAAGGGTCAGTCCTTGGCACATGTATTGCAACCTCTCTCCATCGCATGGCAAAGCAGGATAAGAGTGAGACAGGATGATAGAACAAACTTACACAATCGCAAGGGCAAGCCCGGTTGTTAAGCCCCGGACTCGACACCACGGTATCTTCGGTAGGGATATTGCTCGCGGCCGCCGCCACAGAGGCGGCGAATAGGGCCAGAACCAATGTTAGGCGCATAGCTTGGCTTCTAGGCGCCGTCAAGTATTAGCCGTGTCGTGGTTCGTGTCGGGTAATAGCACTCGGGATCGTGAGAGGTTGTCTGTAAGTCTGTGAGGGTGACTGGGGCCAATGTGGAAGATGAGAAGGGGGAGGCCGGGGTTGTTAGGTATTTAAGCAGTGACAACATGAAGACAGGACTCAACAACTTCACTCGTATGGAGTGCAAGTCTCCGCAAGCTTCGTCGACCTTCAGCAAAGTTGCGCCGTCTTACTCGCGCTAGATCGCATCCTCCCATGTGTTAAGGGCGTGACGCACTGCAGTCCCCCTGCAGTTCGAGTAACCGAGTCCATCTCAGACTTTCCGCCCCCGAAATATGCCCAATGGAGGCCGAACAGTTGTGTGATAAGAGTGAAGCTTTGGCTTGGAGGATTCGCCGTGCAGCGCCGAGACGAACTGTCCAGATGCTCTAGCCACGAAACAACGAGCTAACCCGGACGCGATCTTTAAAGACGAGGTTTGGGTATACCGAGCCGGTTGCAAAGCAATCGTTAACTATTGCATGGATCCCGCTCATGCACAGGTTCAGCTGCTGTCGTCCATCCCCATGACTTACCTTGGCAGTAGAAAGACAACAGGTCCGTATTGGTTGTTTTCCGGCACTGACAAGAAAGGATTCGGTCTCCAGTGTGATGGCCCCCAAATTACACGGGACAGAGACCAGGCTTCAGGGAGGGGATGTCTGCCCCATGAAGTTTTCTACCCTCCTCCAGGGTTGCTTCCATGCGCCTCCGTAAAGTTTATAAGCACAGGGAATCCCTCTTGCAACGAAAACGAAACATACCTGTGGGACATCCCGCAGTAACATACCCACCTGAGGAGAGCTTGACCCAGCATCGATATTACCCCATCCGATTTGTGGTCTCCATAATGCATCTCGCGGTTCCCATTCAACTGTTCATTGTTGCCCTAGCAGCGACTCAGTCCTCGGCCTCTCCGCCAGCCGCCCCCATTTCGAATGGAGTCGAAACTCGCACTGCTCACGGCGCCGTGGAGAAGCGCAGCTTTTGGAACGTGCACCGAATGCTATATCGGTGGTGCCATCGGCAACCCTTTGTTGATGTGTATGTGCCGCAGAACGGGCGGTTTGGATGTCAATGCTGAGTTGGCTCTCAACACTTGTTTCGCCAACCGTGACAGATTACTGAACTGGGTGAGGGAGTATGTACCGGTTTCCCATACTCCGTTCCGCAATCGCCGAGATCTGACCTAATTATTTTCACCCATGTAGCGGGAACTATGGATACAGCTGCCAGAACACTCAAGTTAGAGAATGTGATGGTGTCTGGTATATCAGCGCCGTATGCACGCGGGTCGACGGCGAGAATGTGGTGACCGCGACGACCTTGAGTGAGTCTCCCTCTTTTGTCACAGTCTTCTTTCTGTAATCTTTGTCTAAGCATTTATTTTCACCTAGCAAACATCCACAATCGTGACGACCTTCTTGTTTGCGATGGCTTCTAAGATGGGCATCGGAGTAGCGGCAGCTAGTGAGGAGCTGGGGTTTCAAACGTCAAGATACATGGTCTGGATTTCAGTGGCTGCCAATGTACCAGTCCGTCGAGTTCGCTCGAACCCACCCCCTTTCCCCTTTTCTTTCTTTTCCCGGCGCCAACCTTGGCACGCATCCGCAGGACCAATACCGTTCTACAGGGGTTAGAATACCCATCGCAATTCTCAGTCACTCTCTTAAAGAAGCCGTGTGGGACCGACGTACGGATACCTGCCCTTCTATCACCTGATTTTCTACATGAGGAGTACAGAGATCTCCCGGGTTTCCAGTCCGGTTCGAGGCTGATATCCGAGGGATGCTGACCGTACTAGTAACTGAGCTATTCCGAAGACGCATGGATGGGTCTAGGTCCGGCGAGCGTTAATTTTGTTACAGAGAAACGCATACCTCGTTGCCCCAAGAGGAGAGGCGCGTAACTATTGACGCTACCTTCATTCTCTGAGGTGGGAGGAATCGAATGCGAATATCACCGTGGGAAGTGCTTCATGTTGCTTAACGACGCTAATATAGCTCAACCCCGTCAGCCTCATCACCAGTCCGACCAGTCGAGATATGGGTGGTGGGTGGGCCTCAGGAAGGCGAACTCCAATCCTCGTATTCACACCACGAGGAGCTTCACTGTTGGTAATGCCCAATACCGCAACCCTCGCTCAGTTTCAGAGAATATGGGAGCTTATCAGCTGCTTGATTTCTCTCGCCCGTGAGTCGTGGACGATGAAGTTAACCATTGCTGGCGAGGTAACAAGTCCCAGGTAAGTTACCTACCTAGGTAAGTTCCCGAATTGGAGCTAACCACGTTAAAAATTCCAAACTTGATCAAGCACGGGACCATCTCACCCTCTAGCTAGTACACCTGAAAGGTTGACACCACTCAACTCCCTCGAATACCCCATATCACGCATCCTCTCAAGTTCGGCTAAGATCACTGCGAACTGCTTGACCAACCACCCAACAAGCGAGTACGAACCAAGCCGTGACTGACTTTCTTGTTCTCGACGCCATCGAAGCCTAGAATGAGTGGAGGCGGTGACCGTGTCCCAAGAAGGCACTGGTGTCCCGCCACCAGACTGCACCCGACCTGGGCCGACCACGACACCATGCTGTCCTCCCTCAAACCGTTGCATGCACGACGTCAATGCCAAGAAACTGCCAGCCATGGAAACGAATCAACGAGGTGTGGCGTTTTGCAATACGAGATCCGGCCTGCCGTTTCGGTGCATGCCGGCCAATGACGGCGCCGGTACCCCGCGCCGTCCGCTTCCGGGTCCTTTTGTGCTGTCACCCCACGATACCATGACCGCAAAAGAGGATGGCTGGTTATCTGGTGAGCCAGCTCGTAAAGTCCTCTCTCGAGTCCGACGTTCTGGGTTGGCCATGCCCAGTTCGGCGAGGTGCTTGGTCATGTTTCCTTTGTGGGAGGTTGGATGATAAGATGCGTCGTCTGCCCAGAAGTGGGAGACACGAGACCTTTCTCCTCAACCACAATCGCTACTTCGTACACTGTTCGACTTGACACTCGTTTAAATCAAGATGCACTCGTTTGCGGTGCTGTTTACCGTCGGGGCTGCGGCGTAAGTGTGCCAGGTTCCCTGTCTCTCTCAGCCTTACCCCTTCATCTTGCTAACACAAGCCACTTACACAGCATCGCCCCTGTCGTGGCCACGGGCGACCATCACCACACCACGGAGCCTCCCACGCACCCAACTGACTGTCCCACCATCACGGCGACCACCAACCAGTGCCGCACCTGCCCTGTCCCGGCCTGTCTCGTCCTGAGCACGGTGACGCAGAATTGCGGCTGCATCGAACCCGTCGTGGCCACGGGCGTACACGTCCTTCCCCTGCCACGGAGCCTCCCACGCAAGGGACTAGACTGTGCCACCATCTGGGCCGACCACCAAGCCAGTGCCTGCACCTGCCCTGTCCCGGCCTGTCTCGTCCCCTAGTAGCACCACCACCCACCAGTAGCAGCAGCCCAAAGCAGCAGGCCCCCCCTTGCCCTTCCTTCCCCTCCCACCGAGGACTGCGACTCCCACGACGGTGACCATCCCCGGGGCCCTCATCCAGGCCACAGACTGCAAGACCAAAACCCGCACCCGCACCCACAAGCCCCACCCCCTCCACTCCTCCTCCGCCACCGACGACTGCGACGACTCCACCACCGTAACCATCCCACCCACCAGGCCACACCAAGACCCATACCCGCACGCCCACCACCCACCCCACCCTCCACAGCAGCAGCAGAAACAGACAGCCGAGCCGCCCACTGCGACCTCAGCCACCGAGGACCGAGACGGAGACCAAGACCAAGACCATCCAGACCTACCACCAAGACTAAGACGCAAAACTCCCCGCCCGCCCGCCCAGCCCACCTGAGAGCACGGATGTCCCGCTGCCGCCGGAGTTGCGACTACCCCGGCCCCGCCCCCGATCCCCCGCCCCTGGAACCCCAAGACCTACACCCGCAAGACTAAGCCGCCCACCCTCCCCGCCGCCGAACCGCCGGAGAGCACGGAATGTCCCGGCTGCCGAGCCGGAGTCGGACCACCCCGGCCCCGCCCCCGCCCCCCGCCTGAGAGCTCGGACGCGCCCCCCGCCGCCGCCGCCGGGGGTGACGGAGTAGTGTGGTTGCTGGGGGCGGCGGGGACGGCGAGACCCGCTTCCGGCTTTGCTGAGAGCTGGGATGGGACTGGGGCTGCCGGTAGGGTTCACGAGTAGTAGGGGTTCTAAGGGGAGTGCCTGCCGGGGGTGAGACCGATTCAGTTTTGGTGG